GTTCATCATATATTTTTAAACACGCCTTCCGGCTATCATAGACCTTAAACACGTCAGTTCACCCAGCACTAGTCCGGTACCAGATGCACTCGGACGCAAACTCCTTTTTGGTCCGTTGGCAGAAAACGGTCTGGTCGGTGCCGGCCGCGGCCGCCAGAGGGCGGACCGGACCGGACCAGACCGGAAATACGCAAACTTCGAAATTGGCCCGGAAATCCAACCAGAAGTCAAGGCAAAAGCAGACACACTGGTTAGGAGAGCAGGGCCAGAAGAAGCCGGATAGAAAGGCGGAAGCCGGGGAGGCGGAGGGAAAACTGAAAGCTCCGGTACCGGGACCGGTACGGAACCGGTACCGTCTGAGCCCGCAGCTGCGGTTGCGGTATCAGACGCGGTTCCGTTGCGGGCTGGGCAAACAAACCCAATCAAAGCTCGGAATCGTTCACCCAGCACTAGTCCGGTACCAGATGCACTCGGACGCAAACTCCTTTTTGGTCCGTTGGCAGAAAACGGTCTGGTCGGTGCCGGCCGCGGCCGCCAGAGGGCGGACCGGACCGGACCAGACCGGAAATACGCAAACTTCGAAATTGGCCCGGAAATCCAAAAGACGTTCGAGCTGCAGCTTGACCACAGCCGTGGGACGGGCCAATGAAGAAATCAAGGTACAGAACTCGAACTCGGTGCAAGGAGACCATCGAAAAAAGATGGGTCCGGAAACAGGCTGAGCTGAGGTCTGTCAGCAAAAATGGTCCAGTCAATCAGTACCTCTTCCTGCGGTTGAAAACCCAGGTGGGCAGGGTCGGTAGACCGGCTTAATGCGTCAGCGACGTCATTAACAACGCCAGGTACGTGATCAATGTGGACGGAAATGCGGAAACGCTGCTGTAACAGAAAAAAGGTGCGCAGTACAGAACAGAGACCTGAGGCCATGGAAAGACCTTTCCAGCTGCTGGATTCAGCAGCAGCGTTGTCGCAACGGAAAATGCAGTGCACCGGTAAGTGGCTGTGGCCCAGGAGCAGATGCAAGGTGTATAGCAATGCACATTGAGCCAAGAGTTCCCAGGAAGAGATGAAGCTCTGCAGGGAACTCTCCGGTGGCAACCAGGGGAACAAGCCAGAAAGTTCAACACGAGAGAAGCTGTTCCGGAAGAAAAGTTGGCGGCCGTCAGGCAGACGTACAAATCCACCCAGGCCGGCGGACGTTGGGGTGGCACATGCATCCGCAAACGCCTCGCAATCAAAACGTGGCGGACGAATAAGTGAACGACAAGCCGTTCCAGATTCCGCCAGATCCAACCAGAGGCGGAGGACCAACACAGACTCCTCTGACAGAACGCAGAGACCCGTGTGCGGAGCCACAGACTGGATCCATATACGCCGGGAGTCCGCCGGGTGAAGAGGGAGCTCAGCCAGTGAGGACACACAGGATTGGCCGATGCGAAGAATCCGTGAGCCCGGTGGCAGAGCCGCCAGGCCTATGTGATGTAGCAGGGTCAGATCCGGTGATAACTTGGCCCGAAGGTCATTCCACCGTTGCGGATCCAGAGCCGTCATGGTGGGCAGAAATGTGTGCTGATCAGAATACAACGGGGCCAGTGAAGGACGAAACGTGCGGAAAAGCGAAGACAGCCAGAGAAGCTTCCCCGTGATGCGTTCCAGCAAATGCGTGGAGCAGCGCCGGGAAGACAGAGCCTGGCGCAGAAGGGAACAAAGACGTTGGAACTTCTG